CTCAGGAGAACAATAGTCTGAAGAAGAATAGCCAACTATTCGAAAGCGCTCGAGTTTTGGGTCTTATTTTAAGTCTGTTACACTTTATATGTGATCCTAACCCTTTTATCAAAAAAGTTTGACAAATTAATTCCCCATGCAATTTCCCTGAGTATATCTTAACGTAAGATGAAAGTTTGACTTGTTGCATTTAGATAAATGTGATTAACTGATTAATTTGCCACATACGTTGAAATGTCAGTTACTTATATTGTATAAAAATTATCGAAGTTAAGCTAGCTGCTATACAGAACAGACGAATGTTTTGATACATATACCGACAGCCACACGATCATACTATCTGTTTAAATATTAAGTTAAAGACTCGAGCTTATGTAACGACATAGAAAACTTAATTGAATGTCTCATAATTATCTATTTTGTTAAGCTATAATAAGATGGTTGAAACACGTGAAAATATTATGAAAGGCTACTTCGTAGTAGTCTAAATGCTCGAATGTTCTACCAAGTATTACACCTTGTATTTTAGAGTGCTTAGCTCTCCAGTGAATCCAATCGTGGATAGACTTCCTCTGTCGACGTAACAAAATGGGTAAACTTTGAACTTAATTATGATGTGCAAAGCACGTGCACGTTAACTTTCATCCAACAATAAGACCACGGCAGCTTCTTAATTATTTTTTTTTATTTTCTGAGCACATTTTCATTCTCATATCAAAAATTTAAGACATTATTTATCAATTAAATGTGTACTGGTTCATCGTTATGGGAATAAAACAGACAAACTTACCGTTAAAAGCATACATTTGATTTCTTTAAAAGCTCCCATGCATCCTAGAAAAGCAATGATAATAACTATTACACCAGTAGCAATGAGAATGGCAGCAGAGCTGACATATAGGTTGCTGCCTAGCAGGCTTTCCATGAATGCTTTGTCTGCCAACGTCCACACTCCTATAGAAAAAACTACGATTCCGCCAATCTAGAAAGTGAAGGAGAAACGCTAGAATAAGTACTTGAAATTGGACTAAAACATAAATGAATTTATCAGTGTTGGTGAATGTCATTCTAATCTAGCAACAAATTGGTTAGATTTAATAGTAAGCTAAGTATTAAACCTAGACCTAATCATAGCTAAGGAATGGTCTTTCTCCAAAATACCCATATATTGTGGTTTTTACTTCACAATAGTCAAAGCATGAGTAAAATTCACAATAATTTGCTAACGTAGTCTTTCTGTGCTTATATTAAATTATTATGTGAAGTTCTTACATTACTGGCTAAGGATGATGTAAATTTGACTTTTTCGTTAGAGTTTTTATACTTAATGAAACACGATTCTATCGATAGACGGTGTCTGTTTTATCATATATTTGACTTCAGTATCTTAAAGTTGCTGTATTAGATTTTCTCAAATGTCTAAAGTAGCTATTAACCAGAAGATTCTTTGGATTATAAACGTAATTACGACAATAAATATCACATTTTATCTCGGTTATTGAATGGTAAATTAACAACAAACGAGATATGGTAGACCGATCTCAGAGTTGCTAATTAATAATTATAATTATAAGTACCTTATATTTACATAAATTACAATGTCTAGTCCAGTATTATGTGTTTTATAAGTGAGTCATTTAGAAAGAATACACGAGGTCTGATAAATGTGCCCAACTCCCATTCTAATACCATAAACAATCTGGTCTTTCGGGCTATACCGAGTTATTATGCAACTGGATACACTACATCAGATCAGCGTCAAATCACGAATGAAATTCAGTGGTTTTTTTCCACCAATTTTAAACAATGTACTGAATTGAAGCAAAACTACTTTTTGAATTGTACATATCTTTCAAAAGGTTCAAGGTCAGTGGAAAAAACCAAGGTCTATGGGACACCGGTGCTACAAGCCCCGCCAGCCCTTGGGTTAATCCGAACTTGAGAGGAAAGAAGTTAATTTATCATAACAAGCAGTTCAGCAGTTTGCTCAATTTGCAAAAGAAAAAAAATGCAGCACTGTACAAAGTATATTACAGGAGTAGATAGTTTTAAACTACAAGTCTCCAAAACCAAAGCAGAAGCAAGTTTTAAACAATTACTATATGACATTTTTCTCTACCTTAAACCTTCCATGAAATACACGGTGTTCGTGAAGTCCTTGTGCAACTGTAAACCCTAATAACGTTTGATGTACGCAAGATAGAAACAAACTGTAAACGGTATATGAAAGCATGGTTCATAAAGTTTTACCATAATGCAGTATTCTTATGTAAAATCCCTAACTAACGAATATGGTGGCGATAGAAGAAAACGTTAGTTGTGTGATGTGATCAGTTCAACTGTAGTCAATAACAGCAGTGAGGAAAAAAATTAGAACTCATTACAATAAAGATGCACCACACCGCAACTCAATTAACAATTGGATAAAAAAAGTTTAAGTAAACGGAGTCAGTGAATGACAAACCACGATCCGGAGGTCCATGAATCAGAGATAAAGCACTAGCAGTCGTCCAGGAAGCATTTCAACGATATCTTGTTATATTACAAAATTTCTTTATCCCCGAGCTACGCCGATTGAATCTTTTTAGATAGTACATTCTCATAACCAGAAGGTGTTCCCTGCTACTTTGCTTTAGATGTGTACGAGCTTTTGAATGATGTCTTCCTAAAGAAGGAAATCGGCAGACGTGGACCAATTGTTTGACCTCCTTGGTTCCCTGACCTATCCCTATTGGACTTCTTTGTATGGGTCATGTAAAAACTACTTATTCAAGTCCAATATTTTAAAGGGACTTAGAGCAAGAATCACAAATTCAAGTCATGACATAACTCAGCGGCATCCGGAGAATGATTTTGTAGAGTTAGAAAATCGGCTTGAAAAAATTATCGCTACAGATGGCAGTTACGTTGAAGTTTAGAAACTTGAATTGTATTGTAATAAAAGTTCATTGGTTATATTTTTATGTACTCTTTACAGTTTGCTTTTATCACACGTACCATTAACAACTATTAAAGTTTAAAGTTGCACAAGTACTTTATAAACCCCTATAATGGGAAACTTAGAACAACTGCTCATGCAAGTGCATTTTGTCCAATTTTTTGTTTCAGAATATCGCACAAAACTAAAAAGGGCGAGCTGTGAAAAACCGTCCCTAATTATGAAGCAATAGGCTACAGAGAAAGCAGCTAGTCAACCGCACCCACGGCTCCGAAGTACGGAGCGCATTTTTGCTGCAACAAGGCGCGAACCAAGAATTTTTGGATCCATAGTTTAGGCACGTTTGCCGCCCCCTCTTTTGTAATAACTTCGATGGAACAAGGTTTGCTCAATATCTGGATCTAAGTTAGTCTTTTTTTTTCACTCTTAGTTTTTCATGAGCGTACATTTTTTTTATTATTATGATTACAAAATGCAGCGTTTTGGAGATAATTGTTACTATTATTTTGCAAACAAGCTCAATTTTCTTTCTTTGAAGCTTATTTGTCTGAGACCCGTTCCCTGTACTTTTGAGATCTTATATTTGTAAGATTGATTTAATGTTGACTTTGTTGAGCTATGAATAGACAAAGAATTTCATACGCACTATAGAAAATCACAAAAATGTGAAGAATTACTATTAAAATCTCTTATTTTTCTTGAAGATATTCTGAGTTCTTGTGACATGAATTCAATGTTCGATTTGCTGAGATATGAACACGCAAGGAATTTCATATTTATTGTGAAATATTACAACAGTATGCGAATATTGAACTCAATTTCTTTATTTTATTCAAAGCTGTTTAAAAGAAGAATTAATGATAAAAGCTCTCATCAAAAGTTACGACTCCCCCATCCGCCCCTTCTATCTGTCAGATGTACTTTTCCATCTGCACGGCATGGGGCTGATTAATAATGCAGCACGGGTGGGGTCTTCTATGGGTGTGCACACATCCTCACTAATCCTAAACCATTGCTTTTCATCAATCAGCAGTGAATGTCACTAACTATATAAAAACAGAAAATCTGGTAACCATCTAACCTATCAGTTTCTCCTGGGTTTATTAGACTTTTGTAGGTTGACCAGTTAAACAATAAGCTCACAAAACATGACCAGTGCTTCACGAATTTGTGCTTTGTTCGGCACGCTAGTAATTTACAACTTTCACAGTATGGACTAAGTTTGGGAGGAATGCCTTAAAGGAGAGCAGCGCGTGTGTTTGTTTTTTCTATGTAAGTTTAATAATTAGGTTTGTTGATATAGGCTTTCCTTGGTGAAACTAGAAGTCTTAGAATGTCCTTTATAAACAGTTACTTACCAAGATAAGTAAATTGGCCATAAGCATGGCATACTTGATGGCTTTTCGACAACCCTCAACCATTTTGAATCTGAAAAAGAAATACATTTTTAGAAATACGACATTTAAAAAAAAAACAACATAGAAATATAGTGTTATTAACGAACAACATTTTTTTCTTGCTCTTTTAGAAATTTGTTTAGGAGATAACGAAAATAAACCTTTTTAATTTTAGAAAAAAATTCCATGAGCGGTTAAATATTTGTTAGTAACAACAATGTATTAAAATCTTGATTACAAATTATCATAGTTAATAATAACTTGACAGTTTATGTTTTTTTTTTTTTTGCGTAACATTTCCAACCTTATTGAAACAATCAATCTTTTTTTTCGTGCCATTAAAATAGAAAATATTCAAACATATATATAAAAAAACACGATTTTCTATAATTACATGTAAAAATATGAGCCATTAATGGATATTAACACACAATACCGCAACTAATATAAAGTCTATTTTAAGAGGTGCATTAAATCATAATGAAAGCTCGAGGGGTGGTACTAACATGGTATTTTTACTACATACAGTTCCTTAGGGACCATCGCCAGGTGGAGATAATTTATAGGCAATTCTGAATAGTGTCTGAATATCCGTGGACATGTTTATTTGAACTGTATTATCAACTTGAACAAACAAACCATTTTACACTCATATGTAAGAGGAATTGCTTATTTTTTGTCCCTCATCTAAAAGAGGAGACAGTATATTTACTTTATTTTTTTAGCACAAATACTTTATTCATTGTCTGAAATAAAGACCACTAATATATGATAAATACAGATGGAGCTATTAAAGCTTGTCAGGCATTAGAGTTCACGTTCTTGGCCACTTGACAGAAAGGGTGGTGATCCAGTTCCTACATCAGGGTTTCCCAAGGTGGTCGATAATTACCTCCTGGGGTCGATGAGACTCTATAGGGGGTGAATAAAGACCTAGGAGTCGAAAATGGACCCTAGGGTAAGGTTGGCATATGCAGCTAACCGCCCTACGCCTTTCCACGTTCCTACATGGTCGAAGCTGGATTTAACCATTTGAATTGTATATTTAGCAAACAGAGAAACAGGCCAACGTCGAATAACGCGGGGACTTGAGACTCAAACTTCCAAACCTACAGCCCAATATTCATACACTTGTTAAAGCCCATCAGGCCCATCCATCACATTAGAGAAAATTAAAACTTCATTTTTTTTTGGATTCTATGTTTCCGAATGATTGGATTATGATGAATAAAAGTTGATTATATACTGAAGTTTCTTGACTATAAAGTTTCATTTATGATTTATATTCTAAGAAATTGGGAGTCGGTGACAACTTTATAAGTTCGTCAAGGGGTCGACAACTCAAAAAGGTTTAGGAAACCCTGTCCTACATAAACAAATTGCTTGACTCGTTGGATTTCGCGCAAAGCTATACAAAGATTATATGTGCTAGTGGTCCTTAATTTTGAAATGATACACAAAAGGGAAAGAAGTTAGTCAACACTATCCTCTGTGAACTCTTGTACTATTCTTGGCATATTGAAGAGTAAGATTTTATTCTTATTCCAGACTCACAAACGGGACGCAAAGAAAGAATACTGTGATTCATAGTTCAGACACGCTAACTATCTTTGTGATATGCAGGAAAACTATGTGTTTTCCACCTCCTTAATATTTAAAAATATAGCAAATTTTTCTACATATTGTCAATGTAGTATTAATATGGAATATCAGTCAAGATAGATACTAAGTTCCTCTCGCCCTAGTTACTCATGGAACTAGGTCATTTAGCTAGGGTGTCACATGAACTTTCATGTAGGAATGATTGTTTAAAAAGTAGAACAGTGATTTTTTAAAATGGCCAGTCAGGTTATGTCTCAATCACACAACATACCTTGTTTTCAAGTGAGAGTGACCCTCAGTCATATTTTCAGTGGCTCAGTGATAAGTCTGAGGGCTTATAATGCTAAAAACTGGGCTTTAATACCCGTGGTGAAACAAAATCGCAGATAGTCCATTGCATAGTTTTGTGTTGACAGCAAACAAACAAAAAAACTCAGTCACATGGGTAGCACCTGTGCCCTAAGAATAATGGCATTGTTGGTTTTAGTAAGTAATTACATGTTTTCTAAGTTTGAAACATGATGGCTTTGAATAACGATTTAAGATTACTGATCTACGTTAAAAAAACAATTATGGGCTCTCAATTTAAAGCGCAACACAATACATTTATTTCAAATTTAAATTGTTTCAATGTGTCACTCTCTTTCTTTACTTTGAACTAATCTGAGGTCCAATTTCATATTTTTGTTTTGTAAGATATTGCCAGGTGACTAGTCTAGAAGAAAAATCAGTAAATCTGAGAATACCATAGAGTAAGTCGTAAGGAGAAAATTTGGTGCCGTGACAACAGAATTTGTTTTGTGGAATGTCTGTTGTTGTTTTTTTCCTGACGAGTGTACTTGCTTATGCTTTTCTGAACTATTTCATTATTGAGTTGAAGCATTGCACTTGAGGAAATAGCATTTTCCACAAGTCGAATGAATTATGATCAGGAAGAAGAGTTAGGTGCTGAGGACAAACGGCTGTCAGAGAGACAGTTGTCGAGTTTAGGGGAAGTCCTCTCTAGAATATTGAACTTTTGTTGATGTTGCGAAGGTCCACGATGTATTTCTCGCTATGGCCACAGTTCCAAGAAGGATAACTACTGGAATCTGGTGCACCAAGCATGGCTGATCGTGATCTTTCTCCCGAGGGTTAAACATGCAAGTCAAAGACTCCTAAGGTTCGGGCATGTCCATCGTAATTTTCAAATGTAGACACTCTGAATCGAATAGCGGGATTGAATGTAACAGTTATGATTCCTCCAAGCCGAAAGCAACATATCACGGACTAAACCTTGGACCTTCTGATCAAGCAGCTCGACAAGCTAACCGCTAGAACCCATCCAGTCCAACACTAACAAAATTTTATCTTTCTATTGTAGCAACAAGAAGCACCGCTGAAACCAAGGTGTAAACAAAATTACCAAAATTCAGTATTTCTATATTCTAGATTTGGAGAATTAGTTATAACTGTTTAAAGACAGCCTATAAGATATGTCATTTGTTCTTAGCAAAGAAGTGAAGCACGTGCATTTTTTTCCTTGATTGAAACTAATCACAAAACTATAGTTTTTTTCGACGAATTAAATACACCATGGTTGCAGGTTACATTTCTTTCATCACCCACTCTCATTTCGAAAATAAAATAAAAAGAGCTAAAAAAAAGTAAGTACATCGTCTTTTACCCATTTTAAACACATTAATTCCTTTTGCACATTTAGAAGAAACGGTGTGGATTTTTATACGTTTCAAATTCTGTTGCAGAATGAAAAATTAAAACATAAAAAAAGAGATATACAATAGGAAAAATGTTCACATTAAAAGGGCAGTAAATTTTGCTTTGTTTTTCAATATATTTAAACAACTGAAAGTCTACATGGCGTATTTCGGTAGTGGGGAAGTTTTAAAAAATATATTTTAATTCCATCGGAACAAAATGCTGTGAGAAAAACTGTGAAATTAACTGTTATAAAACAACCAAGCTTCCGCGTTCTGTTCCTTAGTAGGTTTTAGTATATTACAAAGAATTAATAGCAAAATATAAAGAAAAGATAAACCACTCTTCTTGAATCTCTTTTCTTGCTACGGGCTCGTGCGAGTTCCCTTATGGTCAAGAACGAAATAAGACTCAAAAATTAAGTAGAATTATATAACAAAATCTGTCCATACTTATAAGAAAAAGGATAAATCAGACATTATTATGTTGCACAGCCATCTTGGTGGATTTCCCTTGTTTAAAGCAAAGCTACACAGAAAGCTATCTGTACTGTGGATCGAACCCGAATTCTTTACCGTTAAGCAACCGAGAGACAACTTAGTGCAAATTGTCAAACAATTAAATATCGAGGTTTTTAAAAAACAAACAAAACAAAGTTACTAAGTTGTAGTCAATTAACTTGAAAATAAAGTCGATGCGTTCAAAAATTGACAAAAAACTAACTTTTTAAAATAGAAAAACCTTTTGTTCAAAAACAAAACAAAATTCCCAGTTGTACAGAAGAATGTCTATTGTGTTCATGTCTTTACCTTGACCTTGAGTTTGTTTGTTTTGTTGTTTTCGGCCAAACAATGTGAAATGTTTGTAATGTCTTGGCTAGAAAATTACCTCGGCACTGTGTAATCTTACTTTCATATGCTATATCGTTTGCGAAATATGACGTGCTGAACTACGACAATTATTTTACAGTCACTCTGTAATTAAGCTCCGCATTTTAAAGTGTGATGACACCATGCTGTCGGAATGCTCTGTGTTAGATTTTGTTTGTTTGTTTGTTTTTGAATTTCGCGCAAAGCTACACGAGGGCTATCTGCGCTAGCCGTCCCTAATTTAGCAGTGTAAGACTAGGGGGAAGGCAGCTAGTCATCACAACCCACCGCCAACTCTTGGGCTACTCTTTTACCAACGAATAGTGGGATTAACCGTCACATTATAACGCCCCCACGGCTGAAAGGGCGAGCATGTTTGGTGTGAGGGAGAATTCGAACCCGCGACCCTCAGATTGCGAATCGAGTGCCGTAACCACCTGGCCATGCCGAGCTCTGTGTTAGAACAGATTATATGAGATGAATCGTGTTTTATTTTAGAAAAGGTTATACAATTTAGCACGGAATGAGTAAATACAATTTCAGTAATTTTCTGTACGAGGAAAATGTCAGAAATACGACTCCTTTTAGTGGTTTTCACACTAATCAACCCGCAGCTATTAAAATTCTTACTATGACTCTAACGGATAGATAGCACAGAAACATCAGTAAACTCGGGACAATTATCCGTAGCTTCTGAGTTTTTGGTAGTGAAGAGAATGAATTCCTCCCAACAAATAATTTCATCATGACAGTAGAAAGTAAAATAAAATGAGCATTAAATTACACGGGTAAAATATCACGAGTGAGACTGAGCTGTGATAGAAAATTAATTTGAAAAACATTTGCTGTTTTGATAAGAAATAAGTTGTTATAAAACGATTGAAACACTTCTATCAAATGAAGTTTTAACTAATTTTTCATGCACTTATGCAAATTATACTCAAGCAAAACCCGAAAGATCAGTTGACCACCAAGATCAATCTTGTCAAAGAATATTTCCCCTTTATTTGTAGGTTAAAATTAACGTACCTACAGAAAACATTAGCGCCGATAGAAATAAGTGAAACGTTTATTCTATAGCACCAAAAAACGAGTGTCTTATAACATACTTTCATTAATATATAGGCCCGGCATGGCCAGGTGGATAAGGCGCTCGACTCACAATCTGA